TTTTCGTTATAGGAGTTAGTTTCAATTCCTGCATTTTCTGGGCTAAGTTTTTTTACTTAGGTCAATTTCTGCATTTTCTGGGATCTACTTTGTCTTGTATAAATCTTGGTAAGCCACTTTCTCTACGGGAAGCGCTGCCAAAATTTCTACAAAACTAAGGAGTTAGTTAAATTTTGTCTGTTTCAGGGTCCAGTTTTTTTGACTTTTTGACTTAGTAAAAATATAGAAAGCCTCATTTTCTAAAGGGAAAGCTGCCTAATTTTTTGCTAATTTAGGGAGTTAGACAAAATTAGACCTTGGGAAGTCAAAGTCATTTTAGATTATGAATTTAACTTTGTATTAATCTTGGAATAACACTTTCTCTACGCAAAGCGCTGCCGAAATTTTTAAAAATCTAAGAAGTTAGTTAAACTTTGTCTTAGTTGAACTCATGCCTTGTTTCTAAGTTCATATCTGACTTAGTATAAATCAGGGAAGTCTACCTTTCTGAATGGAGTGTTGCCAAATTTTTTACTAATTCAAGAAGTTAGACAAAATTTTGACTTTCTTGAGTTAGAGATTATTTCGGATTGTATATTTGAACTTATATAAATTATGGAAAGACACTTCTCATACGGGAAGCGCTGCCAAAATTTACTTAATTTAGAGGAGTTAAACTATATTTTGACAGATGGCGAATCTGATAATCCACTCTATACAGAGGAGACTTTGCCAGAGTCTACTTTTCTTTGGACACTAATTTAGAGGTAGGCTTAGACTTAGTTTGCAAGAGAACCTTCAGTAAGATTGTGATATGAAGATTATTCCCCATGAACTTATAAATTTAGCTTGAGGGTGATTCAAGATTTTGACTAGATTCAGCTTGATCCCAAGAGGATCGCTTTCTGTTATCACTGATAACATGTCGGTTACTGATTCGTCCATTTACAATTCAACTCCAATCCATTCCTGTCACTCAACCTAAAGGTTTTAGCCTTGCGATTTGAATTGTTTTGTTGTGTTTTCGCCCGAATTTTATTTGAATGACCATTTAACTAAGGTGTTGAGTATTTTATTTTGAGAGTTGCACAAAGAGTGAGACTTGTATGACTAAAAACAACGGGTGTGAGTGCAAAAAATGGTTGAAGTTGACCCCGTGTAGTGCATGAACTTTTGGTTGAATCTTTGATGTGATTGCAGGTATGTTTGGTGGTTCGGACTTTGGATTTGACTGTCTGCGATCATATACATATATATGGCTGTGAGGGGTCTCACTGTGATTGTGAGAAGTGATCGTAACATACTTATTCCCCTTTACATATATATATATGTATATGATTGTGACGATATATATATATATATACAGGGTCACCAACCCGTACGTACGGGGTCCCGTACGGGGTCCGAACCCGACGGCGTTCGGCCCTCGCCAAAAATTATTTCGGGGCCTAAAAATATATATATTTTTTCTGAATTGTTTTTTGTGAGTTCTCTATGACGTGAGGTACGTGCTTGTAAATTTTCAAGTCATTTGGTTAAGCCAAATAAGAATTAAAAATGTCCAAAGATGGCGGTGTCAAAACGTGCTCGCCCATGTATTTTTTCACTTTTTACTTTTTGTTTTCCCTTTAGTTCGGGGTCTAAACATTTTATTATTTTTTGAAACTTTTTTAGTGAGTTTTTTATTATGTGAAGTACACATTTATTAATTTTCAGGGCATTTAGCTATGCAAAACAAAATTGAAAAATCGCCAAAGATGGTGGTATCGAAAACATGCTCACGAACGCACTAAATTTAATTCTCTTTTTATTTTTATTTATTTTTATTATTAGTATTGATTTTCCGTATTTTATTATTATTTCAAATTTGGTAAGGAATTGGGATGTAATGCTTAGGCAAATCTTGTTTAATTTATTTTTCTCTATAACATTCTTTTTTCATATTTTTTTGATGATTTTTTTTTTTTTTTTTTTTTT